TTAAAAGTTTGTTGATTTTTATTTGAAAGGTAGAGCAATACAGAGACAGGGAAAGAGAGAGAAATCTTCTATCTGCTGATTCATTCTCCAAATGTTGCAACAGCTGGGGTTGGGCCAGACCAATGCCAGGAGCCCAGAGCTCCATCCAGGTCTCCCCTGTGGGGGGCCCAATCACTTGCGCCATCACCTGCTGCCCCCCCACCCCCCGGGCTTCGTGACAGCAGGAAGTGAGATCACAAGCAGAGTAGGAACTCCATCCCAGGCACTCCGGCACTGGATGCGGTGCACCACATCCCCAAACACATTTTTTTTTTTTTTGACAGGCAGAGTTAGACAGTGAGAGAGAGAGACAGAGAGAAAGGTCTTCCTTTTTCCGTTGGTTCAGCCCCCAAGTGGCCGCTATGGCCAGTGAGTTGCGGCCGGTGAGTTGCGGCCGGCGCGCTGTGCCCACCCAAAGCCAAGAGCCAGGTGCTTCTTCCTGGTCTCCCATGGGGTGCAGGGCCCAAGCACTTGGGCCATCCTCCACTGCACTCCCTGGCCATAGCAGAGAGCTGGCCTGGAAGAGGGGCAACCGGGACAGAATCCGGCGCCCCAACCGGGACTTTCAGAACCCAGGGTGCCGGCGCAGCAGGCGGAGGATTAGCCTAGTGAGCCGCAGCAACCGGCCCACATTTTCATATTTATTTTATACTCCTTCATGGATTGAATCCAGCTGCTAGATAACACAGGCTGTCACACTGGATTAAAAAAAAAACTCAACTCTGCGCCATCCATGCGGGTGTATCTCAATCAGTGACACAGAAAGCTTATGGGAAAACATACACCCATCGTCTGTTACCTAGTTGTTATCATCCTTCAAAGGTAATGCCGTAAAGTAGCATTTTATCCGCTCGTGATCCAGTGGGTCAGATATTGGGCCTGTGCTCAGCGGGGCAGGTGTGCTCATGTCCCCTGGGGTGACCCAAGCAGCAGCAGTCATCTAAGACGGTCTCACACAGCTGTGCTGGCTGGTGGCGGGACCGGCTCTCCACATGGCCGCTCATCCTAGGAGGCACATGGTGGCGGCAGTACCCTGGTGATGAGGACTGGACCCATGTGTCCCATGTCAGTCCTGCTGGCTCCTGAATTCAGAGCAAGCCACAGTGCTGGCCACGATTCAGTGGGGAAAAGGACTCAGCCTCTGCACGGAGGAGCGGCCGAGTCACATTGGGAGGGCGACGGAGTGGGAAGGGAAGGAGTTATTGTGGCACCTGGAAAACACCAATGCACAAAACAGGTGTGGAATAGTAGCACCAGCCAAACTTGAAGTCAAGGGGAAAGAAAGTGAAAGGAAATAATCTGAGTGATAAAAGGAACATTACAACAAAAAGAATAATTGTGAACCTAGCTTCATCTAACAATGTAGACTGAAAATATGTAAAGCAAAATCTATGAAAGTATAAGGAGAAATTGACTAAAGTTTATTGACCTTTAAAAAAAAAAAGATTTGGGTCGGCACTGTGACTCACTTGGTTAATCCTCCGCCTGCGGCGCCGGCATCCCATATGGACACTGGTTCTAGTCCCGGTTGCTCCTCTTCCAGTCCAGCTCTCTGCTGTGACCCGGGAAGGCAGTGGAGGATGGCCCAAGTGCTTGGGCCTCTGCATCCACATGGCAGACCAGGAAGAGGCTCTAGGCTCCTGACTCCTGACTTCAGATCGGCATAGCTCCGGCAGTAGCAGCCATTTTGGGGGGGTGAACCAACGGAAGGAAGACCTTTCTCTCTGTCTCTCTCTCACACTGTCTAACTCTATCTTCCAAATAAAAAATAATAATTAAAAAATTTTAAAAAGATTTTATTTCTTTGAGAGGTAGATTTACAGACAGAGAGGAAGAGACAATGAGAAAGGTCTTCCATCTGCTGGTTCACACCCCAGATGGCCTCAATGGCCAGGCTGGGCCAATCCGAAGCCAGGAGCCAGAAGCCTTTTCCAGATCTCCCACGTGGGTGCAGGGGCGCAAGCACTTGAGCCATCTTCTACTGCTTTCCCAGGCCATAGCAGAGAGTGAGTCAGAAGAGGAGCAGCTGGCACTCAAACCAGTGCCCATACGGGATGCCATTTTAAATAGAGAACGCATTCTCAGAAACTGACCATAGGCTCAGTGGCTAAGAAAAATTTTAGGGGCTGGCGCTGTGGTGTGGTGGGTAAGGCCACCTCCTGAGGTGCTGGTTTCCCATATGGACGATGGTTTGAGTCCTGGCTGCTCCACTTCTGATCCAGCTCCCTGCTGATGTGCCTGGGAAGGCGGCAGAGGACGGCCCAAAGGCTCAACAGCTGACCACTCTGAGGCCTGTCAGCAGGGGCCCAAGGTGCTGTCCACCTGCTGGGGCCTTTCCAGACGGTGACTTAAACGTCTCTTCCTCTGGCTGCTTATGTGAATCCTTTATCAGGCACCAGCTGATTAAATACAGCGTTTCACTGAGTCCTGCGAGCTGCCTTGCAAAAGCACCAAATCCAAGGAGGGGGCGATGGGAACCCCAATTTGGAGCTGGCTAGCGACCAAGCCTGGAGTGGGGGGAGATAGTTTTGTGGGACTGAGCCCTCAACCATGTGACACTATCTCCAGGTAGACAGTGTCAGAACAGAATCAGAGACAAACCAAGGTGGGCTGGGCCGGGGCTGGAGCCATTGGTTCTGTCTGTTCGAGGATGTAAGGATCAGACTACTATCACCAACCAGCTTCGGCTAAACCCAGAGGCAGCTACTGTCTCAGAGACCTGGGGCAGACAAGCGCTCTCCAGGGCAGGCCAAAGCAAGGCCCCAGTAAGCAGGACACGCCTGATCCCAGGGCTGGTGCTATTTGCTTCTGATTCTGCCTGCTCCTGCTGTGAGTGGACTCCTGTGTGCAGAGGAGACAGGTGGCTCCTGGGAGCAGGTAAGGTCGAGCAACCATCAGGAGCCTGAGCGTCAGCACCCAGGAGGCCTCCAGACAGCTGGCACGAAACGATGCCCAAAGGTCTGGATAAAGGGGGAACAGCTTGTTTTCTGAACACAGGAGTGAAATAGTGGCCGAGCCCCGACCTTGGAGGCTTGCCAATCAAGCAGACCAGACACAGCATTTTACCTCCACAGCAGGAACCAGAGAGCCTATCTGACAATGATTACACAGCAGCACTTAGTCTGCAGATAGCGTTAATCTGGGTAATTCAGACCCAGCAAATCTGTGGCCTCCGTTACTCACGTTGTTGGACTCCATCAATTAAAACACAGGGTGCCTGCCAATCTTTCCCTGGTGCTGTGTAACAGAACTTCTCTTGTTTTTTTTTTTTTTTTTTTTTTTTTTTTTTGAATGCAAATTCATTCATGCCTGGCTGCACCCACCCACCCACCCACCCCTCCACTTAACAAACACCCAAGCAAACAGAACACATCGCAGATCCCTGCTGTTTCCGGTGTCATCTTTTCCATCTCCTCTGGTTCCTTGCAAATGCGAAAAATAAAGAAGGTGGTTAGAGTTATTCTGGTGCCAAAGAATGTTCTAGAAAGAAATGCACAGCTCACATGCACTAAATAACTAGCAAAAAGACAAAGGATGGAGAAAGGGGGAGAACGGGATGGCGGAGAGAAAGCCTGCGTCCCGGCTGCCTGGGGTTGACCTACACCATGGGATGCTCCCCAGACGGCGAAAGTAGCCCCCAGAAACGTAGGTACCTTGGCATGGGAGCGCAGGAGCTGCAGGCCTCGGATTCGGACCTCAGAGGCCGCAGTCATTTCCTCCAGCCCCTCCTGCCTCTGCCTCACCTACCCGCTCCTGCAGTTCTAAGAATTCTGAGTCCTGAGGGGGTGGGGCAGGTGGAGCCTGCCTTCGCCTGCTCTGCCGCTGTCACTGCCACCCCCGCCCCGCACACCCAGGTCTACATTCGCACTCCCGCCAAGTCCTGCGCTGGAGCCCCTCCCACCGGCTCCGGTTTGTCTGCCCACCAGACCCCGACCCCCTCCCACCGGCTCCGGTTTGTCTGCCCACCAGACCCCGACCCCCTCCCACCGGCTCCGGTTTGTCTGCCCACCAGACCCCGACCCCAGGATTAGCGAAGCCAGGACCTCGAGGGCCCATGGCTCCACCGGTACAGCAGCTCGTGTGTTGTGCAACCACGAGCACGCGAGGAGCCTGAAACGTGGCTGGTCACCTGCTCGGCGCCCACCTCCCCACGCAGGCGCCACGGGAGTGCGGGGCGCCCCTGGGCTGCGACGCAGGGGTGGGGGCCGCTGGTCCCTGTTCTGTCCCGGGTGCTCCCGCAGCATAGCACCTCCAGCTGCTTTCCTCGCCTGGCCCGGGGCAGAGCCGAGGCAGCGCCGAGGCAGCAGCACCCCTGTCGGGGTCTTAAGCCTGACTGTCCCCTGACCAGCAGGGGGCAGTACAAGCACTTCCCGACAAGGCAAACGGGAGAGGTAAGGTCCACGGGGCAAGCACACCACAGCAAACATCCGTGACTTCTGTCAAAGCAGGAACCACTTTATTGAGGAAGCGTACAGGCTTATAAAGCTTATGAAGGACATGCGCAGTAGGGGAGCCAATCAGCGAAAAGGTCATGGCACAGGTGGCCCACGCACAGAGGCACCTTAAGCCAGGTATAGGGATCACGCACTGTCCATGTATCAGGAAATAAATCGGACCTATCCCTGCAGGTGGCCCCATGGCGCGGTTTAACCGCAGCGGCCGCAGACACGCCCCCTGATCCTCCGCCAGGCGCCATGCTGTTAGGAACTATTTTAGGCAATGCCCAACACACCCCATCCTTCCTCTCAGGTCAGTCTGAGCCCACACATCTTTGCATCCCATTTTCCAGATGGGACAGCTGAGGCTTACATCCAGGGTCAGCGCCACTAGCTCGCGTGTGTGCCTTCTCCCCACAGCTACCACATCGTCTAGAGCGGCCTCCAGGCGACAAGAGACCAGGAAGAGTCGCGATCGCGTGGCTTACGTCGGGGCGTCCCCAGGACGTGGGCCGGCTTGGTGGGGCTGGCCTGGGGCCGAGCCCTCGCACGGAGGCCGCTGCCAGGCCGGGGAGGGGCCGAAACGGCCTTTGATCCCAGGTCCATGCGGCTGGTTGAGAAGGCGGCCGGCGGGCACGGGGCGGGGCGCGCTCCTCCGACGGCTGAGCGGGAGGACGCGGCACGGAGAGGACGGCTCGCGGAGGACGCGCGGGCGGCAGGCATGGAGCGCCCCGTGCGAGTGAGGACCTGGGTGCGGGAGAACCGGGCCTCCTTCCAGCCCCCAGTCTGCAACAAGCTCCTGTGAGTCCCCGGCACTCCCAGCGCGTTCCGGGCGCGCTGCCGCCACTTCCCCCGTTGGCATCTTCACCTCCGGCTCCCTGGGGGGCTGCTCTCGCCGGGTTGGCGCGGGAGGGAAGGAGCGGCTGTTCCGGCTTCCGCCGCTCGGCGTGTTCCCGTTTTTGGGGCCTCAGCAGTGGGGACGGTGGCGGGCCCTTCTGAGGGTGGCGGGGCGAGGCGGCAGGTGCCGTCCTCCTGTCCTCCTCGGGGCTGGGAAACAGCTCTCCCATCCCAAGTGAAACCCGCGCACTTTGGGAGATCTCAGTTTTCAGGGCCCCAGAATGACAGCAGAACCTAGGTCTGGGGACAGCAGACACGGGCTTTACTGAGATCTGTCCCTGGAGGTCTTGTACATTGCTGTCACCAGGGTCTCTCTTTGCAGGTGCACACAGGCTAACGTCAGCACTACGCCCTGCCCAAGCCACTGTGCCAGCAGCCCCTCACAGGGCTGGCCCTTCCACTGCCACCTCTGTCCAGCACACCTCTGAGGCCCTCCCCTGAGGCCCTGTCATCTCCCTCCCTGGCCCTCAGCTCCATGTCTGGACCTCCCGTGCCTTGCAGATCCAAGCTCACCTTTGCAAGGGGCGAGGGGAGGATGCCTTAACCCACACAGCTACGGCCTCCTAGACTATGCCGGTGTTTTGCATCATCTCTTTTAATTGTCACAGTCACCCCGGAAGGTTGAGATTTACATAAGCCATTTCCCCAGTGTCACAGAGCTGGTGTGGATCATGCTGCAGACTCAGGCCCATGGAACAATTTGACTCCAAAGTCCTCACCTACTCTTGGTCCCTGTGCAAGACTGCCATGGTTAATGGTCAACGTCTACCCCTCCAGTAGATCTCAGTAAAGTTGGTTTAAACAAGCTTTTGGGGTTGCCTGGCAGGCGCCAGGCCAAGGCCAAACTCCCTGGCTGGTGCCCCTCTTGATCCAGCCTTCTTGCCATAGCTCCCCAGGACCACCCCCACCTGGCCAGGACCCCTGGGCTTCCAGGGTGGGGGGCTCTGCACCCAGCTGTCCCCTCCTAAGCACCCTATAGCTTCTCTCCACTCCCTGAATCCCTGTGCAGCTTTTAGTCCTTCCTGGCTCAGCACGGCCCCAGCCACCTCCTCCTGCCCTGAAACCCTGTCTGTATTTTCAGACATGGGGCAGGATATCTGTGTGTGTCTCGTTCACTGGGCCCTACCCCCTAAAAGGGAAGGAAGAGAGAAACTATCCCCTCCTGTCCCCATGCCCACCCTCAACAAGACAACACTAGTGGGGGGATCCCGACCCCAGGCCCTCCCCCTAAACATCCCATCGTCACCAACACAGGCAGCTTCTACACTCCATGACCCAAGCACGCCCAGCCCCAGCACCTCGCCTGCTCCGGGGAAAGCCCTCACCCTCCCGGTAGCGGGGTCACCTGACAAGACCCTGAGGCCCCACCTGGACACATCCCACCACTCCCTGTGCAGGATGGGGCAGGGGCAGGGGGTGTTTGCTGTGCAGGGTGACAGGACACCGGCTGTGTGCTATCTGTGTGCACCGCAGACAGGGCACGGGCCTGGAGTCAGGGAGGCTGGACCCCACTCAGGTTCTGTCATTCCTGGCAACATCACCCTCTCTGAGCTTAAGTCCGCTGTTAGTAAGAGAGCTGTGTTAGGTTTACTTTATCAAACACTTAACTAGGGCTGATTCTGTATGCCAAGCCCTGTTGTACAAACTCCCAAGTAGTAACGCATGTCACCCATTTAACTCTACAAAATAAGAGCAGTCTTCCATTTCACAGGTGAGAAAACCGAGGCCCAGCAAGGTTAAGTCATGTGCCCAAGGTTGGAGGAAGAGCCAGCTCCGGGGCTTGTGGTTTTAAATGCCTGCCACACTGGCTCACTGCTATCTGAGGCCTCCGTTGGATGTCGCATTCTCTGAGTCCCCAGAGCCAGCCCTCCGGCCCCTGGAGAACGGAAGGCCCATAATCAGCCAGCTGCTGAATGGGCCTCAGTTGCCCTCCTGGAATTCGGGATCCTGAGCACCACCCAGGAGTCCTAGGTGATGGAGTGACAAATCTGTTACCAAGCTGTTCCCCCTGTTGGGTCACTGGGGGTGAGGGTCCCATTCACAGACATTCAGAGGCACCGTGTGCACCCTGGGGACAAGGGGGTAAGGCACAGAACAGTGATGCAGAAGCAGGCTCCCTCTCCCCTCACCCCAGGGACTGACTCCGGACCTTCCCCTGTTTGTCCATTGCAGGCACCAGGAGCAGCTCAAAATCATGTTCGTGGGGGGGCCCAACACCAGGAAGGACTATCACATCGAGGAGGGTGAGGAGGTAGGCTCGCTGCCCCTGGGAGGGAGGGGCCAGGGCTTGTGGACTGGACGAGGGGAGGCGTGGGCGGGGAGGGGCACACAGGGACGCTCCCCCCAGAATGTGAGCAGGTGAACTCTGCTGGTGGGGCCCCTGTGCTGAGATTGCCTGTGGCTGCCCCTGCTCTCTGTGTGCTGCCCTGGTCCCCTCCCCCAGCCTGAACAGGCACACTTGGCCTCCAAGATGAGCCCCAGCGCCTAGGGGACCTTGTACTCTTCTTCTGGTCTTGGGAGCTGTTTGCTGTCCTGCAGGCGGGGCCAGGGTGCAGGAGGACACAGTGGGCGTGGGCTGGGATGAGGAGAGGGGGCTGAGAGGAGCAGGTGGTGGAGGGAGGGGTGTGGGGAGGGAGAGGAGCTGAGGTAGGGGCTGGGGGCTCCTCTGTCCCCAGAGGGTGCCAAGAGATGTGTGACTGGGGGAGGGGAGAGTGAGGGAATTTGCCAGGGGCACTGTTTTGTACCTTGAATTTTGAACCGTGTCTCCTCTACCTACCCAAAAGTAAATAAACAAAAGCCACACACAGCAGAAAAGGTGGGCCCCTAAGGAGCGACACAGCTGTGAGGGTCCCGGTGGAAAGGACCTGTGGCAGGGCTCCGTGTGACCGTCGTGCAGGGGGCCACGCTGATTCTGAGGTCGGAGGTCCAGAGTACAGGTCCACCCCAGCTCTGCCGTCCCCAGCCTCGGCCTGCAGCGAGCAGGAGTGCGGCTCTTTGAACAGCTCGTCAGCGAGCAGTGTGTGCCAAGGACACGCAGGCAGCGTGGGCAGAGCCTCGGCAGAGCTGGCCTCCCCCGCACCCGGAGGAGCCCATTTTCCTCTGTGGAAAAATTGCGACGTGGTGGGACAGGAGGGGCTTGCACAGCACGCAGACGCCAGGCCGTCCCACAGGCTTCCGTGGTCTCAGTGCCCACCCCTCCTGTCTCTCTCTCTGCTTCCTGCCCTTCTTGTTCCTCCCATCTTTGCCACGTGCCCCTTGTGGCTCCTCCACGCCCCGCAGGGGCCAGGAGTCCACGGAGGGGCCAGCTGGCCCATACCCTGGCTCAGCTGGTGGCTGAGGAGCGAGGAGGGCCGGCCTGTCCAGTGTCTGCACCCTGCTGGGTGGCTCAGGGGGCTAGGAGGAGTCTGGCTGGAGGTGGGTTTATGATGGCTTGGTCCCACCCTACAGGGAAATGTCCCTACCATAGCCCTGCGGAGGCCTTGGAGTTGGGGGCCAGCAGCTGGGGGCCACGGAGCCCCTCAGCCCTGGGTTCCAGTCACACCTCATACCGACCGAGACCAACGTTCTTCACTCAGCTCAGCCTCTGCGATAGCCATCCAGGGGCCGGGGCCACACACGGCCTTCTCCACCTCTTTCCTGCTGGGGCCCTGGGGCCCTGCTGGGAGGTGGGTGAACCTCTCACTAATCACGTGGTCTTTGCTTGCATGTGAAAAGCAGAGCAACAAGGCAGGCATGAGAGAGAGAGAGAGAGAGAGAGAACGCTTTTCCATTGCTGGTTCAAATGGAACAGCCAAGGCTGAGCCAGGCCAAACCCGAATCTCATTCTGGTCTCCCCTGTGGGCGGGAGGGGCTGAAATACTTGGGCCATCGTGCACTGCCTTTCGAGGCCCGTTAGCTGGATGGGAAGCAGAGCATCCTGGACTTGAACTGGCCTTCCGTTGTGGGATGCCAGCCTCGCAAGTGGCAGCTCATCCCACTGAACCACAACCTGGGCCACAGCCATCGGTGGTGGGCAGCCTACGTCACATCCCCTGTCCGAGCCTTTCCCAGGAGCCCCTGGGCCAGCCCCCCCTGCCTGGTACGAGGATTCAGTGTGTGTGGAGGGGGTGCGTGACACGCACTGCTTCCCGGCGCCTGCCTGTGGGGCCTGGACGCCAGACTCGATTCAATATCTGCCGGAGCGGTACAGTTAATCTTCTCGCTCGCCCAGGGCCCCGAATGTCATTACTGCCAAGCAAGCACAATTCCTTTCGGATTGCCTGCGGCTGTTGGGGATTTTCTGCTGCTCCCTGATCTGTGCCTCTGCTCCAGGCCGGGCCTGGCCCTCAGCACAAGGAAGGCCCCTGGGCAGGGGACAGAATTCTGCTTCCTTCTGACATTTTGTTTCAGGGCCACGAATACTTGGTAGCCTGCCCAGAAGGGTTTGAATCTGGCTCATCGGCCACTCCAGACTCCCCACTCCCGACTTTCCTTGATCATGGCCCCCTCACCAGATCTCTGTCCCCTCCCCCTTGGAAAGACCCAGGACACACACACACACACACACACACACACACACACACCCAGGCGTAGGGGGAGGGGAATGAGGGCATGCTGACTTGCTCCCTATAAGGAAACCTTGTGGTTTTTTTCTTATATGTATTAAGTAATATTTTTGAGATTTTAATAATGAAAGTAAATATTGTTCATTGTGGAAAACATGAGAAATATAGAAAAATAAAGTTTTCATCAGTCATCTCTCTACCACTCAAGGGGACCCCTGTGAACACGTGGCATACATCAGTCTGTACGCAATTAGGGTACTGCTGGGCAGAGTTGTGAATCTCATTTTAACATTGTCATTTCCCCATTTTTATGAAGTTATTTCAAAACAGCTTTAATGGCTCCATGACATTCCATATTTTGAATCCACCATCAAATATCTGATTTCCCTTATTAGTGTTATCTTTGTAATCCCCACCATCGCTGAAGTATTGGCTGGAGGTGTGCTGAGTGCTTGCTGTGTGCTGGTGCCTTCACAACAACCTTCTAAGCAGATACTCTCCTGTTAGAGATGAGGAAGCAGGCACAGAAGAGCCCGCTGAGGGGCGGGCCCTGTGGTGCAGTGGGTTAGCCACTGCCTGCAATGCATCCCATATGGTCACCAGTTCAAGTCCCGGCTGTTCCACTTCCCGTTCAGCTCCCTGTTAATGTGCCTAGGGAAGCAATGGCAGATGGTTCAAATGCTTGGGCCCCTGCCACCCACATGGGAGACCCAGATGAAGGTCCTGGCTCCTGGCTTCGGACTGGCTGTTGTGGCCATTTCTTTCTCTTCCTCTCTATATGTAACTCTGTCTTTTGAGTAAATACATAAGTCTTTGAAAGAAAGGCTAATTGAATCAACCAAGGGCACACAGCCTGCTGGCAGGGCTGGGGGCCAGGTCGGATGATGCTGGACCTGCTTTGACCAACGCACTGCGTTCAAACGGCCTTGTCAACACCAGGGTTCTGAGGGTGAAGTCTGCGCTCAAGGGTGAGGGGGCTTTCCCGGTGTTAGTGCAGTGGCCTGTGTCCCAAGGAACCCTACAGGCTGTGAGCTCCGAGCCTGTTGCCCTTGGAGAGCTGTCAGTGGCGCCTGGGGCAGACGGCAGAGCCAGGTTTCTCAAGGTTGTGTGAGCTCAGTTCGATTTCTCGGCCATGTTGTGACAAGAGATTCTAACTCCTTACGGAATACTAACTACTGCTATTATTAGCACCGCCCCTTCAGCCGTGTGTGTGTGGGCTTTTAACACCCATGCGGCGTGTGACCGGCGGCTGGAGACCGTGTCTGCCCCCTCCTGGCCCCAGGGCTGCTCGTGTCCAGCACGCACCCCACCCCCACCCCCACAGACTCCCGAGAGAGAGAGAAACCCCAGATGCATCTTCTGAGAAAGCGGTTTATTACAGATCTGTCAGGAGATGGGGAAAAGCAACAAAACCCACCCCCATCTCGCTCGTCGGACAGGGCCCTGGGAATTTACGGCGTCAGGTCACAGCAACACCTCCAAGCCACAGCAGGTGGAACAGGGCAGGTGCAGAGGAAAGGGCGCAGAGAGGCCTCTGAGCATGCGCACTAGAGGACCAAACATTTTCACGCGCCGCGTGCTCCAAGATGGCGGCTGAAAGGCCGCGGGACAGGGCTGGGTTCACCCGGCCATGAGCCGCAGGCAGCTGTCGGGCCGACAGCGTTGTTCTGCACGGGCTCCAGTCATGATTTTGGCTACAGCCGGTCCTGCTCAGTTTTATCAGGGACAGCATAGCAGATTTTTAGCAAAGACAACTATTATGGGATAGCACTTTAGAGGGTGAGCAGTTGACGGCTGAGGCAGCAAGCGGAGGGATCAGCCTGCTTGATTGCCCGGGGATTCGGTCTCAGCAAACGCGGTAACCAGGGTCTTGGGTGGAATTGGAGAAAGGCAGGCAGAGATCCCTGGAGCGCGCACAGCCCCAGCCCACCCTAGGCTGCCAGTCTCCGCAGCCTCCCCCTGGGACGTCCTGGTGGCCAGAGGAAGTGACACCTGTCCCTAGCCACACCCAAACTACCCAGCTATGTGACCTCAGGCGAGTTGCTTTACTCTCTGAGCCTCAGTTTTCTTTTCTGCAGAATGGGGCTGAGATTATCTCTGGAAGTTGTGTCAGGATTTCTGACCCCACAAACGGAAGGGCCTGGCATAGCCGCTGGCACACAGCAGAGGGGCGGCGGTTCCCCTCACGTGCCGGCTGGGCCCCAGCCCACTCTTCCATCCTGGGACCTCTGCTGATCGCTTGGTGTTTGAGAGGTGGTCTCTTTGTGTCCTGGCACTCCTGTCCGTGGCCTGTGTCAGGGGAGACGGAGCTGCTTGCGAACTCCGAGGCCTTCGAGAAGTTTCTCAGGTGTCCTGGGCAGTGGCTAAGGACCTGGGAGACTGAGCAGTGAGGGGCTGAGCTTTTTGCTGTCCCACAGGTGTTTTACCAGCTGGAGGGCGACATGGTTCTTCGAGTCCTGGAACGCGGGCAGCACCGGGATGTGGTCATTCGGCAGGGAGAGGTGAGGCTGGGACGGCGGGCGGCCGGAACGGGCCCCACCCTGGCCTCACAGATCTCGTCCCCCACTTCCCTTGCCTGTGCACCCCCAGGCTCCTCCTTCAGGATGCCCCGTCCGCAGCACAGCCCAGCATTGCCTTGGGTTCCCTGGTCAGAGGCGGGGCAGAGAGCAGGACCTGGGGGATAGGCAGTGCCCGTGCCACCACCCTGTGGGTCAGCTGCGGGTGCCCGGGAGGTTGTGGGCACTCAGGTCTCCTCCTGCAGATATTCCTCCTGCCTGCCCGCGTGCCGCACTCCCCACAGAGGTTTGCCAACACCGTGGGGCTGGTGATTGAGCGGAGGCGGCTGGAGACTGAGCTAGATGGGCTCAGGTAAGTGCTCCTGTCTCGTTGGCCGGGGCAGAGAGAGGGCAAGGGGCAAGCACGAAGGGGTACAGCTCAACCCTGCAGCTGAAAGAACCCTAGATAGACTTGAGAAAGCGCTTGCTGGCTGCAGTGGGGGCAGGGGAGGTCCTGCATTTGCTGGCTGATGGGAGAGCGGGGGTTGGATGTCAGGGGATGGGCGAGGATGCTGTGTCCCCCTGGGAGCCAGAATCAGCACCTGTGCTTTCTGCATGGGGTCTGTGGGGAGGGGTGGGATGTAGAAAAGGAGGTAGGTAGGGGATGCCAAAGCCAGAACCCCCTACTCCAGTGCGGCTGGGACCAGCGCTGCTTCCCCCAGCCTCGGCCCCCAGAGTTCAGAGGGCGCCCTCAGCGCCTCCCTCTGCTGGTGCTTCCAGCCCAGCTCGTGCCTCAGTGAGCGCTGACATCTGGACAGCACCTGCTAGGTGCCCTGTGTTTCTCCCTTTGATGCTCCAGCCATTTCAGAGGGCAGGGGCCTGCCCATCCAGACTCTAGGGGTGAAGAAGCTGGGCACAGGGATGTTCAGTTTGCTAGGGTGTGGCGTGCCAGCGCTGGCCTCGCAGAGAAATATGAAGTCCGGCCAGGACGGTAGAGAGCCAGCCCCGAGGAGGCCACAGCTGTGGTTCCCATTGGGTTCTCATCCGTTGCCCAATGATTATCCCCTGAAAGGGGAAAGCAGCAATAGTTATGGGGAATAAAGACTTTCCCAAGGGCTAACGTGCTTTTTAAAATTTTTTTCCCCAAGACAAATTTCCCACTGGGTCACGGAGACAGGGGATCCTGGCTCACATCTACTATAATGGGCGCTTTTTACTGCTTCCTTCTTCTCAGGTTATATGCATCCACTCTCAAAATAACTTACCACTGGCCGGCGCCGCGGCTCACTAGGCTAATCCTCCACCTTGCGGCGCCGGCACACCGGGTTCTAGTCCCGTTCGGGGTGCCGGATTCTGTCCCGGTTGCCCCTCTTCCAGGCCAGCTCTCTGCTGTGGCCCAGCAGTGCAGTGGAGGATGGCCCAAGTGCTTGGGCCCTGTACCCCATGGGAGACCAGGAGAAGCACCTGGCTCCTGCCATCGGATCAGCGCGGTGCGCCGGCCGCAGCGCGCGGGCCGTGGCGGCCATTGGAGGGTGAACCAACGGCAAAGGAAGACCTTTCTCTCTGTCTCTCTCTCTCACTGTCCACTCTGCCTGTCAAAAAGAAAAGAAAAAAAAAATAACTTACCACTGAAAGGGTGATTTTTTTTTAGATTTATTTATTTGAATGTAGAGAGAGAGGAGAGGGAGAGAGCGCGCGAGAGCAAGAACGAGAGCGAGAGAGAATCGATCTTCCATCCACTGGTTCACTCCCCACGTGGTGGTAATGACCAGGCCTGGGCCAGGCTGAAGCCAAGAGCCAGGAGCTTCATCTGGGTCTCCCACGTGGGCAGCAGGGGCCCAAGACTTGGACCATCTTCTGCCATTAGCAGGAAGCTGGGTTGGACATGGAGTAGCGGGGACACAGACCATTGCCCGTGTGGAAGCCAGTGTCACAGGTGGCGGATGACTTGCTACACCATAATGCCAGCTCCAGGGTGACTTTTGTGATGTGAACATCTCAATAAAACTAAATAATAATCAAAGAGGGGCACATAAAGTCATCCCACCATTAAACCTCAGGAAGCGCCTACACTCCCAGCTTTTTTTTTTTTTTTTTTTTTTTTTCTGTGCAAATCCATGCCTACAACAGTGCAGGCTTGCTGCATGCATGGCTGGAGTTTTGGCTTTTTCTTTACTGAAAAGACTCTTGAGTATTTTTTATATTAGTGACTCTTTAAAAAAGAAAGACACTGCTGCAGAATAAGCTACTGCATGTGAGTGTGTCGTGAAGACTGCTACCCGGCCTCACATTCTAAAGGCGATTTCTCATCTGGGCCTTTCTTAGGGCATCTTCATGATGGAAAGGACGGTGTCCTCAATAACATTTTATAGCAATGCAATAATGGCTTTCCTCGTGCTGCTTTGACCTTTAATAAAAGCCAGGGATGTGACATCACAATGCCACTCCGACACTTTCTGGTGGCCAGCTCCATCCCAGGACAGAGCTTAGGTGGCTGGGACCACCGCACTAATGGGACTGCTCTCGTTTTCAGGAGGAATTGAAGAGCTGTCCTGGGAGCTGGGTCCCAGGAGTTACAGCCATTCCCAATGTCCCCCTCCTCCCCCCATGCTGCCAGGCGTTCCCTAGGCCAAAGGAGCTTGCTGAGCTGGGCAGGGGATATGGGTGGGTTCCAGGGTGCACCGAACGCTGCGTGGGCAATGCTCATGGGCCTTCCCCCAGGGCAGGAGCCCAGCGATTTGCAACCCTGACCCTGAAAGGAAAGAACCCCCATTGAGGGGGCTGCCGCCTCACGTTGGCTTCTGAAGTTTCTGGGTCCTCTGGCCCAGAGCACCGCAGGCGGGCACAGCTTCTGGCTGCTGGCCCTGGGTTCGGGCTTATCCTCAGCTTGCTGTTTGGGAAAAGCAAACACTTGGATTAGCTGTGCGCTAAGCTTCTGTCTTAGACCTAGCCTGCTGCTGCCAGCCCGAGCTGTGTAATCCCTGCCAACAGCCCGCTCCTCTGAGCCTGCTCTGACAGTGGTCAGGTTTGGGGAGCCCGGCAGAGGTGGGCAGTGAAAGGGCTCTGTGGATAGCGGCGCCCGTCATGGTGGGCCAGGAGGGCACAGGTGTGCTCCTGGAGGAGCTGGCTGGAGGTGAGCAGGGCTGGCCGCTCCCGGGGGTAAAGCAGCTGTGCGGGGCCCAGCCCAGAGGCCTTCAGGCAGAGCCAGCCCTGAGCCGCCCAGATGGGGAGCAGGCTTGCCCGTCCTCTGCTCTGCAGGTACTACGTGGAGGACTCCTTGGACGTCCTGTATGAGAAGTGGTTCTACTGCAAGGACCTTGGCACGCAGCTGGCGCCCATCATCCAGGAGTGAGCCCCCAGCCCTGCCCCTTAACGTCTGGATGCTTCGTGTCAGCACCTGCTGGTCTGAAGCTGTCACACCTGGGAATTAGGGAGACAGTCTCCCCTGGGGGGTGTGGTGGGGATGGAGCACCCACTGGGAAGGGTAGAGGGGTGTTCCCTGGGGTGGGAGGGAAAGGATGGTAGGTGTACAGTGAGGTGTGTGAGGGCCCCGTGAGTGTGTGTGTGTGAACATGTGTGTCGCCCTGGCAGCTCCCATGGGGACGCCCACTATACCTGGCCTCCACTTGTCCCTGCAGGTTCTTCCGCTCTGAGCAGTACAGAACAGGAAAGCCCATCCCTGGTGAGGCCGCTGGGACCCAGCCAGACCAGTCCCTCTTCCCTCCTCCCTCCCCACTTCCCCAGACTAGCTTGGGTCTCAGCCCTGGTCCTGGGGAGTCCCTTTCTGAGTACTCTGGCCAGTCCTCAAGACTCGGAAGATGGCTGCCTGGTCATCAAGCTGGGCCCAGAACCCATTCTGGTGGTTGAGAGCAGGCACCCCTGGGGCCAAGCCCGCTAGGGCTGGGAGGGCTGGGAGGGCTGGGCCCAGAAGACACTGACCAAGCCATGCCACGTGCAGAGCAGCTGCTCAAGGAGCCGCCGTTCCCTCTGAGCACACGGCCCGTCATGGAGCCCATGTCCCTGGAGGCCTGGCTGGACAGCCACCGCAGCCAGCTGCAGGCAGGCACGCCCCTCAGCCTGTTTGGGGACACCTATGAGACCCAGGTAATGCAGCCCTGGCCATCCAGGGCATCCACCCAGAGCCCCGGGAAATGGGAATGAGCTATGCTTTCATGCTGCATGCACACTCACACACACACATACTCTCAAACATACACACGTACTTACTCACACACACACAATCCTGGAGGTTGGGGGCTTGAGCTCAGCCCTGCCTCCTTCCTCCCCGACTCAGGGAGCCTTGACTTTGCTATGAGTAGAAGTCTGTGCAGGCCACACGGTCCCATGCTGTCCTTGTCTGCTTTCAGAGCAAGGGTTTGCCCCGTTGAGTGACAGCCTCCTGGGGGTCTGAAGTGTTCCCCCTGCTAGGAATTCCTGAGCCTTTGGTCAGTCATAGCGGTGGAAGCCAGAATGGGGAGAGGTGTCTGGGGTGAGGGTCGGGTGGAGAGGTGCAGAGAGAGAGACCCAAACCAAGCTGACCTTTCTCTTAGCATTGACTGGAGCGCCTCCTGTGTTTCTGGCTTTGGTAGGAGAGTAGGGTAGAGTTACTACCTCCGAAAGTGTCCCGTGTGGTCAAGGAGATGGATGAGTTCATCAACTGTTGCTAAAATCATGTGATAGATTATCTGATAGAGAAACTACTGGAAGCCCTAGGATGATAAAGGAGGGCTCCAGGCTGGGAAGGCTTCTTGGAGGAAGTGATGGGCAAGTTGAGCTTTAAAGCTGTTGTAGGAGTTTGCAAGAGGTTGAGAGGGAGTTGGAGCGAGTGTTCTAGCTGCATGGCATGGAGGCTTGGCTTAGCTTGGCACTGCAAGCTGCTGAGGTTGGCGGGTGCCAGGGTGGGAGGCTGGTAGACTACAGCTCAGTGGGCAGGGCGGCAGGGCAGGGCAGGGTGGGCGGAGACCACAGGGCTTCTGCAGGGACAAGTCTTGGGAAAACCACTATACACGGGAGTGGGAGGGCTCTGGAGGGCAGGCTGGTCTTGCCCTGTGCTTACGATTTGCCACCATGCATCCTGGGCACCCGGACTCAGCCACCCCACGCAGGCTGCTGCCCGGCCTGCCCTGTGGTTCTGCCAGGGATGAGCTGAGCCTAGGCAGGGCTGAGAGAGTGAAGCATGCGCCAGGAAGCCCTTCCACTCCCTCCCCACAGTGTCGTCACTCCCCTGCTCCTACCCACTTTAGTTTACACTGACAACCTCCCTGAGGCCGTTCTGGGCCATCAGGAGCATGGCCCCTACCCAGCAGCTGCAGGTTCCCAGGCCTGTGCAGGTCAGAGAAGCCACAGCCTCACTCTGCTCACCCCCTCATCCCCTTGGGCCTCACTCATAACATCTCACAGGGGAAGGGGGGCACCCCGTGGAGATTGGATGGCCCCGTTGTGCACTGGTGGGCATACCTTCATGGGAACATGCGTCAAGACCCCGGGGCATGTGCATGTGAAGGGTGGGTAGCAGGTGGGCAGCTGACAGGGAGGTCTGCAGCCCTATGGCCTTCCTTTTGGTCCTGGACTCTGCTCAGCACATGGTGGGGGGCTGTGGTACAGGCCCCACTCCTGCCCCACTCAGGACTGGTGTCTGGGAGCCAGGTTCAAAACCCTTCACCCGTATAGGGCAGACAGCACCAGAAAGACCCATGTCACCTCCCCCCAGGTCACCGCCCATGGACATGGCAACAGCCAAGGCCCGAGACTGGATGTGGATGTGTGGCTGTGGCAGCTGGCAAGTGGGCCCGGGGAGGGGAGGGTTGCTTGGCTTCCTGTCTGTGGGGATCAGGCTGCCCTGCCCCCTGGGGCCTCCTGACCAGGGGCGAACTCAGGGCTGTTCAGACTTTGCTGAAGCCCCGCAGCTCCACGAAGCTCCTGCTCCTCTATCCTAGGAGGGCTCCTCAGTGGTGATGATGGGAGACAAGCGCCTGAGCCTAAGCCCAGACGACAGCCTGCTGGTGCCAGCAGGGACTGCGTGAGTCCACGGGGAGGACTCCCCCCACAAGCTGTGGGAACACCCTCCTTAACCTGGGATCCTCAGGGTCCCCTCTGTGTCTCCACAGGTATGTCTGGGAGCGAGCCCAGGGCTCTGTGGCCCTGTCTGTGACCCAGGACCCTGCCTGCAAGAAGGCCCTGGAGTGACCCACTCCGGCCACGGGGCATCTGAGCGCCACCTGCCAAATGACTTCTCCCCGTGCTGCTGCTGAGCCCTCCCCGGGCCCCACACGGGCCCTGTCCTTGTCCTCCTTCCTCCTGCATTCTCAGCCCTGGGTGCAGCAGCTCCGCTTCTCCTCTCACAGCCCCCACCCCCACCCCTGCAGCCAGCTGCGCCCCATCCCGCTGGCCGCACAGGCTCAGCACAGCACTCGATAATCCCTTCCTGTGCACAGGCGGCAGGCCGTGTGCGCCTGTGACCATGTCCCTGCGTGAGCACAGCCGGTCCTCTCTGTGTCCCCAGTCCGTGTCTGGTCCAGGGAGCGCAGCCGAGGTTCTCTCTGGGCCTCCTTCTCCATGCCCGTGTATTCTTCCTTATGTAACTTTTAACAAGTCACTCCTGTCTTCTCTCCCAGTAACAGGAGTCATCTGTGCTAATGGTAGAAAACAGAAATGCATAAAAACACAAAATCAGGCCAGCGCCGTGGCTCACTAGGCTAATCCTCCGCCTGCGGCGCTGGCACCCCGGGTTCTAGTCCCAGTCGGGGTGCCGGATTCTGTCCCGGCTGCTCCTTTTCCAGTCCAGCTCTCTTCTGTGGCCCGGGAGTGCAGTGGAGGATGGCCCAAGTACTTGGGCCCTGCACCTGCAAGGGAGACCAGGAGGAAGCACCTGGCTCCTTGCTACGGATCAGTGCGGTGCGCTGGCCGCAGTGCGCTGGCCGAAGTGGCCATTGGGGAGTGAACCAACAGAAAAAGGAAGACCTTTCTCTCTGTCTCTCTCTCACTGTCCACTCTGCCTGTCTCAAAAAAAAAAAAAAAAAAAAAACACACACACACACCAAAATCCTTGCCTCCAGAGTTCGCTGTTAATACCCAAAGGCTGCTCAGCCTGAAAGGGGCACAAAGGGGAAAGGGTGTATGTGACCCCCGGCCACCACCACCTCCTAGGCACAAAGACCCAAGAGTGCTCCCTGGGCTGCTGGAGGGTCCCAGAAGCATGGGGTGGCTGCCTGTGGACAGAACAGGTGCCAGCTCGGAGCCAAGCTTCCATAGAAGAGAACTTGAGCCCCAGCTTGGAGGGTCACTGCTTTGGTAAGACACTTCTGACGGGCAGAGGGAGCCCTGGCTTTGCTGAAAGGGCTTCTGGCCCTGAGGGACGCTGGGACCCTCACCCGCCTCCCTGTCCCAAAGGGTTTTCCTGTCCTGCAAGCAAAGAAGAAAGAAGACGAGCCTCCTCCACCACCATGGGTCTCAGGCCGCCCGGGCAGAGCCTGGCTTGCTTGGGCTGCTGCAATGTGAGGCCCTCGCAGGAGCGGCGAACCCCGGAGTCAGAAGGCGAGGCCACGAGGAGGAGTTTATCCCTAGTGCCACGGATCCAGCCTCGGCCCAGCGGGAGGTGACAATCAGAGCTGCTGGTTCTCCGAACACAGGCTCTGTGCCAGGGAACCCCCTGGAAGTTTTCACATAACTGACCCCATGTTAGCCTCACAGCTTTCCAGGGAGCTGGTGGCACTTGATTCTACGGGTGAGGCTCAGACCCGTCTACATGTACACACAGAGCCCAGGGCAGGGGCAGGCCTGGAGGATCTGTGGGAGAGGGGCCAGTGGTCATGGGGTCTGAAACCTGGAGGCCTGGGCAGAGTGGGCAGTGCACAGCAGACTGTTGACGGCGGCCAGCTGGCACCTGGCCATGGTTATCAGGGCCTGTGGCCTTGTCTTGACCAACAGGATCAGGCAGTGGTCTCATGAGGACGCCTCACAGTGGACAGCACGTTCTGTTCCTTGTCCAGAGCTCACTGCGGTCTCCTGTTTTCCCTGCTGCCGTGAATGCTGGGCACAGGGACTGTTCTCACTGGTTGCCATGGTAGTAGGACCTTGGCAAGGCAGTCCTCTGCCTCTGAAACAGACTTCATCGTGCACATGGACTTGGGACCATGACAGACCTCAGAGCCACCGGGAAGGTTGCACTGCAGCAGGCCTGGGGCACAGGGTTAGTGGCTGAGCACCAATAGGCCGGGTTCTCGTGAGGCCACCAGCAGGATGGTGAGTGTCACTTGACCCTGCTCCTTCCTCTCCACAGTCCCTGTAGCCAGAGCTAGTGGACGAGGAGACCTCCAAAAATCTGTGGAAAATGGAATTAACTACAAGTTTAATTTGATGCAGAACAAAAATTGGAATCCATGCATAGCTTTCTGGTATGCATTTTCCATGAGCTTTTTGATAACCCCCCTCTTATAATGGGGGGCGTGGGGGCTATCAGGGAGTCACAGGGGTAGCTCCTGCCTTCAGGCCAGCCAGCTCTGACCACTCAGGGCTGCAGTGACTCCTCCCCCTCAGCCAGGGACATGGCCTCATGCAGAGGTCACTCGGGGTCCGGGGAGGAGGGAAGCAGGGAGGGCCATGAGACCTCCTTGGCCTGCCATGGAGGACTGGGTGCTTCTGAGGAGAGCCCCAGGAGGCAGAGTCTGCACGGGTAGGGAGACCCCAGAACAGTCTCAGGCCATGGCCAGAGCCAGCCATGGCGGTCTGTCAGGACCCGAGCTCCCTCTGCCCCCTGGTCTCTTTGTCCTCCGCTCTCTCTGTGCCTTCTCTGCTATGCCGGTGCCCTTAGGAGAACTCCCCTGGCATCTTTGTCCCCAGCTGGGTCCTGCTGTGGTCTGTCCTGGGCCTGGTAGGAAACAGCTTGGCCCTCTTTCTCTGGACCCACAGGGCAGCCTTCCTGGTAAGCCTGGCCCTTGACTTTCTCCTGAGCATCAACCCGCCCACCACATGCTCCAACCACTCCTTCCCCCATGAGATCTAGCTAGTGGCTTGGGGCCACTGCCCACAAAGCCAACTCACTGTGCAATCCAACAGCCACACAGGCAGCCCGTGGCCGTCATGGGGCCCCCACGTGCTAGGCCAGGCCTTGGGGGGCGGGGTGGCTCTGGGGCATACCCTGCTCCTGACCACCTAGTCCGACCACTCGTGCCTCAGTGACAGGCTGGGCAAGAGCTCCTGGGCCTCTCCCCGGCACCAGGCTGTATGCGCTGTGGTGCTCCCTGCTGCTGACACTCCTCCTTAACCATCGTGAGCATAGGTCCTGGGGGGCAGGGCTGGCCGTGCCGGGAGCTGCCTGCACCATCTGCTTCTTGCCTGGCATCAGCTGTAGCGCGGCTGCCAGGGTCCCTGCCACACCTCACACATCCTCCTGCCACTCCTCACGGGCCCCTGGCTTCTGCCTACCTCAGCGGCATCCTGCAAGGCTGAGCGGGCTCCTAGCAGCCGTGTGCAGTGTCGGGGGGCCTTGCAGAAGGCAGATGACGTGGGGCAGCAGCAGGCGAGGTCTGCCCCCCAAAGAGGGCTCCTTCCCCAGGCAGAGGCTCTGCTGCAGGGAAGCAGACTGCGGGCTCTGGGGCCAGGCCGAGGCAGGGAGAGAAACCACTCAAGCCTTAGAGTGCCTGAGGGACAGTGCGGAGTGCAGGAAAGCGCAGGGGGCTGGGCTGAGGCCGGCAGGGCGCTGTGGGCATACAGCTGGGGCGGGGCGGGGCAGGGCCAGAGCACAAAGGCTGTACAAACCAGACAGCTACATTGGCTAGGACCTCAGCTTTATCCGGTTAGCACCAGTGCACTTCCTTTTGAAAATGTCTCACCTGTCCTCAGGGAAAATCAAACGAATGTCTTTGGGCTCAACCCTGAAGGTCAGAGGGAGCCCCAGGAAGAGTCGTCGGCCACGGGAAACTGGGACCGCGAGGGGAAGGCATCCAGCAGCCTCTTCCTGCGGGGACTGTCCTTTCCCAGGGCTTCCGAAGTCCTGGGTGTCTCTGAAGATGGAACGGCTTTCCTGGGAGGGTCTGGGGTCACAAGAACTGAGGCCTAGGGCACAGGGCCCGATGATGGGGATTAAACACCTTCCTCCCAGTTCCCTTTGGCATTGTAATCCACCTGCTCCATATCATGGACAGGGGTGCGTGGGGCACAAGCCCAGGAGTGTCCCCACAGCCCAGAGGGAGGCATGTTGGGGTGGCAGGAAGCAGACCTAGGCCGTGGGTTGGATAGACATTGGCATCAGTCTCCCCGGTGTGTCCCCAGGCCACTGCCCTTTGCTGGAGACTCAGCGCCCATGGTCCCTCTCCCTCCTCTCACTGCTGGGAGCTCCCTGCACCACCACAGGGAGGAGACGGCCAAGCCTGGGCCAGGCCAACCTCAGCAGAGGGCCACCATTTCATCAGCAAAGGCCCGCAGGGGGCAAGGGCCGAGTCGCTCTTTTTCCTGGCGCAGCCCCAACTGCCCACGCACGTACTCACCTGGGCCAAAGCAGCTCATGGGCAGATGGCGCCCCACATGCCCTCTCCTCAGCCTCCTCTTCCCCACCACCGCCTCCAGCAGGTCCTCCCACCCCACCCCGCTCAGCGGCCGGCCTCAGCCCACCACCGCCTCCAGCAGGTCCTCCCACCCCACCCCACTCAGCGGCCGGCCTCAGCCCACCACAGCCTCCAGCAGGTCCTCCCACCCCACCCCGCTCAGCGGCCGGCCTCAGTCTCGCGGACCCGATAGAACCTAGGAGAAATGACCAGGCACTCCTCCAAGCCCCGTGGCCTGTATGAAGCCTGCATTCCTTTTCTCCCCTCCAGCAGCACCTGAAGAAGATGCTGGTCCTGGGGCTGGGGCACTCCTGGCCTGCCCTGGACCCTCCCTGGCCCCCCCAGCCTTCACAGAGCCTTCTCTGCAGGGGTCTGAGGGTTTCCTCATGAAGCAGGGCTTCTGGCTGCTTCCGCTCTGCCTGCATGAAGTAGGACTCCCTGGCCCTAACCTTGCCTGACTTGGGGGTTGGTTCTCCATCTGTGAAATGGGAACAGGGATCCCGGCCTGTGCCCACCTCCAGGGGCTGCAGACAGAAATAACTAGATGGCAGGGCATGAGTAAGGAAGGCAGGGGGAGGAGGAAGGAAAGTGTTAAGTGCAAGGTTTTCTCCAGATGGGAGAGTGGCCCCCTCAGAGCGTGAGGCAAGCTGCAGGCAGGCGGAGCAGAGACCCCCACTTCTTGCACTCCCCTGGGGCGGCTGCACGTGGCGAATGGCAGGCAGCACCTTCCATCGCTCCTTTCTTTTCCTGCCTTCTAACATAACCTACTGCTACCCAGGGGAGGGCCTCAGGCAGGGACTCAGAGCCATAGCAGCCACCCCAGCAAATACCAAGGTCTTTCGGGCAATAACGTACCCAGAGAGAGGAGAAGAGGGGTCGGGGGAGGAGCCAACTTCGCCGGGGGGGCGCCAGGGAGGCAATGCCTGCACGCTGGATCCTGGAGGATGAGCGAGGAAAGGCGAGAGGGGATCAGCATCCCTGGCGGTGGAGGAGGTGTGAGCAGGGCACAGAGCTTCAAGACTTGGGGCGCGGGAGGGGAGGAGGACACTGAGGCGTGACAGGAGGGAGGAGAAGACCTAGCACTGTCAAGAGACAGCCCGATCAGAACACAGACCCAGACGCAAGCCCAGGAGCTGGGGTCGGTCCTGCAGAGAACTGGGGCTGGAAGGGAAAGGCGAGCGCAGGAGGTTTCTAAGTGGAAGACGGTGATCAGTCGTGCGTTTCCATCAATTACTCTGGTAGCAGTGTGAGGAAGGGGGTGGGGGAGGCCACCTAAGCAGGCAGTGGTGTGCATTCCCAGCAAGGACGTGGAGAGAGAGGGGTGCCCAGGGCATGCAGGGTCAGCATGGAAATGCACAGCGGAGGGAGCAAGGGCAGCAGCCTTGTGGGCAACGGGCGGCGGTGACACAGTGGGGATGCAGGTGTGGGCAGGTTTGGAGGCGAGTCTCGGGGTGTGGAGGTCCGCCAGGTGAACACACGGAGGGGCCCTCTTAGGGCTACAGACAGGGTTTCAGGAGGGCTGAGGTTACGGGATGGGGTCTCCTGGTGAGAGAGTGACCAGGACCAGGACCCATCCTGAAGAGATCCCTGCAAGCAGGGGCCGCACAAGGCATTCTGGAGAAACCTTTAAGTGGCAAGAAAACGGGGTCTGCAGCAAGAAAAAATAGGCACGAGAGAAGCACAGCAATCTCTCTGCCCAAGCAGAGACGCCCTCTAAAAGGAACAGAAAAGCCATCTTTTATGAAGGGAAAAGCCAAAAATGAAATACCCAGACAGCCTGCGAAGTGTCTTGTGCAAGAACGTGGCTTTTTCAGACGTGTCTCCCAGTGGCATGCTGAAGAGAGCGGATCTGAAAAGCAAAGCGCCCGTCTGACACGGGCGGCTCAGGCCTCCTGGACGAATGCCCTGGAGCAATAATGCATCGTCCGCTACTGTTTTATTTTTAAAAAGCTTTTCAAGCAGCGATAGGTTGCCATTTGTATGAAGTTGAGTATGCAAAGCACGTTCTATTTTGCTCATGGATTCATACATATGCATTAAACATATCAAAGCACGCTCTGGATGATAAACATGAAATTAAAGGGAACGCTGTCTCCGGAGATGGAGGGCGGCGTGCGGGTGACCACAACTTCGGCTGAAGTGATCTGTGTGGGAAAACCTGCAAAGGGAAGCACGCGTGGCACCTGAGTCTCACGCCGCTGCCCTGAGCAGAATTGAGGGGACCCGTGCAACACAGGAAGAGAACACCGGGACCGCGACCCCAAACACTCGAGAGGCTCAAGCAGGGGTCCAGGACAGGGTGGGATCTGGCAATTGCAGGATCATTAGCAACACTGCGGACCGCGAGCTCAGTGAGTGGGTGGGGCGGGAGCATCGTGGGAGCCAAAGTGGACAGTAATGGGCGAGGAACCGATGAGGCTGGAAGCAGTGGAGACAATGCTTCCCTCTTTCAACAAAGCTGCCCGGAAAGGGTGATGAGACAGTAGCTAAGGAGGTGTGGCTGGGCGGGGGTGCCACGCCTCTGCTATCTTGTGGCCAGCATGGGGAGAGTTAAAGATAGCAGAAGGAGGGTCAGACGAATACGATAGAGGGGACAGAAAATGATGATGGAACAAACATTCTGCCTATGCCAGTGCCTGCTTTAAGCATTACACACATGTGACTTCTTTAACCCTATGAGACAGATATTTTTTATCCCATTTTAAAGATGGAAACACTAAGGCACAGCAAAGTTGAGTAACTTGCCCAAGGTCACACAACTAATAAGTGGCAGCCTGGCCTGAGCCAGGACACTCCACTATGGGGTCCTTAAGGGGAGACAGGGAGCCACAAGTCATCATCCCATCATGGCCTTGGCACAGTGAAACATGCAGTCTAGTGGCGAAGCCTGGAGCTGGGCCACAGCAGCCCCACTCAGGGCACCATCCCAAGGACCCCGACACACGTCCCGACCACCAGGCCTGGGCCACCGCCCACAGCAGTGTCTTCAGGGAGCTGGTCATGGGAGAGGTCTGCCAGGTGCTCCTCACACCTCCAGGCCTCGGTCACCACCGGGGTGCCTTTCTGAATTCCCCGCGGCCTGGGGATGTGGCTCACAAGATGGCAGAAGACGCAGATCCTCGAAAAGGCCACTGAGCCCAGGCCTCTCACCTCCCTAGGCCCCTTGCACCTGCTACAAGGCCCACCTGGGGCCCAGGCCTGGGGGTGTGCACATGGGGTGTTACAGCTGAGCCACCGTCCCTGGCAAGGACGGAATAAAACCAGGCATCATTTCCAGGAATTTATTGGACACACGATACAAACCGACGCGTGGATGGCGTGCCCTTGCCATCGTGCCGGGAAAGGACTGGCTCTGGGGATGCTTGTGAGCACAGAGGCATGCTGGGGTGTGATCGCTGGCAGATGCACTGCAGAGGGGCAGGAAGGGGGCAGGGCAACACTGGGACCCGGAGGTGGGGCTGCTGAGGAAATCCCCCAAGGGAAAACAGGAGCAACAAAGGCTTCCCCGCCCTCCCAGAGCAAACCTCCTCCCTAGGCAGACGGAGCCGTAACACCCCAGGGCAGCCCTCTCCAGCCAAGTCCCCCCCCAGCACACAAGCAGACCAGGGCCTCATACCGGCTCCTCACCCACCCTCGTCCTATCCAGCTCTGCTCTGTGTGGAGGGGCCACGCCTGCAGGTTGTCCGTCCCAGGCTCCTAGAGCACCTGGCTTCCACCTGGGTCTAGCTATCACGAGGCACCTGTAGAAACCTGCCCGGCCAGCCAGAGGAGTCAGGCCATTTCTCTTCACTCTTGGCCTGGGGGATGTCTCTGGCGGACTGCATCTCCCTGAGGCTCCAGCTCCCACTAGATGTGGCCTCCGTGGTCCCCTGGCCTGCCCAATGGCCATGGCCTCTGGTGACAGCCTCCCTGCTTTTACTCCCAGTCTCTGGCTCGCCCCTCACTCCCGGCTCTTCTTGTTTCTAAGTTAAATCTCTGGATTAAAACCCGTGGTTGTTTTGTTTACTTGAGAGGCAGAGAGAGATCTCCCATCTGCTGGTTCTCTCCCCAGACACTCACAGCAGCCATGGGTGCCGAAACTGGGAGCCAGGAAGCAGGGTGGGTCTCCACGTGGGTGGCAGGAGCCCAGTCACTTGGGCCATCACAGCTACCTCTCTGGGTGTGCGCTGGCAGGAAGCTGGGGTCAGGAGCCAGGGCTCAGTCCTGAACCCAGGTACTCAGATGTGGGCTGCGGGCATCTTAACCAGCCTCTTACTCACTAGGCCAAATGCCTGCCCTGAAACCTTGCTGTCTCAAGTACTTGGAGTGGTTTCTGCTTTCCTAATCGGGCTCTGAGCCACAGCAGTCAGGTTGTGGACACGGTGGCACTGTGAGAGGCGTGCCGAGAAGTTCCAGCAACACCTCCTCCCCATCCTCCTTTCTTGCACACACTTAGGAAACCGGGGTGAGCAGCACTGGCAAGGGGAGAGGAGATGCCTTGCAGAGCGCAGCTCCACAGCTCGTCTCCATGGGCTGTGCACGGTCTTGGCATGGCCACCACATGCTCCCTGAAAAGTGTGGCCCCAGAAGGGGGCACCCTAGAGGCCCCCTGCAGGACAGCCACTGAACAACCGACCTTCCAGAGGTGAGCCGAGAGCACAGAATCCCAGCAGCGTCTGTGTGAGGAGAAGAGGCTGCAGAGCCAGGCGGGCGCACTGACCAGGGCAAGGAAGAGCCTCCCTGGTACAAGCAGCTCCAAATGAGCTGTGCTTTGTCCAAAGCTTAACGTGGCCTGGGGAGAGCATGTCTCCCACCAGGTGGAGAGGGTGGGGCTGGCGGCAGAGTCATGGGCAGCTCGCTGTCCTAGGAGCCATTTAGGACGGGTCAGGAAAGGGATGAGAAATGGTGAGGGAATCACTTCCCCTCCACGTCTGTGAGTGACAGTCAGTCCAGGGCAGGGCTCAGACAGCTTTGCCGTGTCTTCTCCAGCAACGAAGCCACCGCATGGCTCACGACACACAGAGCTAGCTGCCTCCTCTCCCCAGGGCTTCACCGAAGGGGCCTCAGTGGGCCCCTGCCACCTCCACCCGTCTCACTTAGCATCCCGGACACAGGCCCCGCTGGTGGGCCTGAGCCAAGACCCAGTATAACTCCGTGGGCTGGCAGTGGCGGGAACATCCCCCGGGCACCCCCACAGAAGCCCAAGATGAGAACCAACTCCTCCTCAGAAGAGAAGCCAGGAGGACTGCCAGGCTGCAGACGGGCCAGGCAGCTGGGCCTGAGCTCCGCGCAGCGCATTCTCGGAGAGCAGCATTGTCTTTGCGATGGCTCCCTCTTCCCGGGGAGGTCTGTCTGCATTGAGCCTGCTGTCAGTGGCACCTCCTACCAGCCGGCCAGCTGCCTCCCGACTGCAGCCTCGAGACAGCTGAGCGGTCACACTCCATTGTCTTTCACGGTGCTGTGGTCCTGTGCCCTGCCACTGCCAGTGGAGGGCAGGGGAGAGGCCAGCCCCACGTCCGCTTGCTCGGCTAACCGGGTACTGAGCTCTTCCCAGCCCTGTGGCTGGGTGCCCAGAGCCGCACAGCAGCCAGCTGTGGTGCTATGGAGGGTGGGCGCCACAGGCAGATGGGCTGAGCACCAGCCAGGGGGGCAGGCAGCCTCCTGAGGGCAGGCACGCGCGCACACAGGAAGCACTGGGCCGGCGGATGGAAATCATGGTGCCGTCTGCCATGCTCACACCTGCTAACAGCCCCCAGGCCAGGAAGAGTCTCTCTAAGATACACCCCGGGTGATGTGTGACCACCACCGTAGGATCCACCTGGCCACAGATCCTCGTCAGCTGGTTTGGCTGTGAGGGAGCACACAGTACACAGGTGGCTCATCCCAGCAACACACAGGCTGGGCATACTTAACACCGGCTCTTGCTGGAGTTGCCTGGGACTGAGCAGAACCTGGAGAACATCAGCTCTCTCCAACGACACACGCGGGTGATGAGCAGAGTTTGCAGGCTTACCAGAAACGACCAGCTCACCTTCCGTCAGATCCTCAGGGAGTTCTGTGCCTCGGAGAGGTGGGAGTGGGAGGGGTCAAATATAGGCTATAGGGGAAAGAGGGGGATTTCCCCCGTAAGAAAAGGAAAAGCCAAGTGACAGTAACAGCGAGGATAGGGAGACACCATCAACTGCATAAACACTGGCATGTTCTTAAGAAAAATCCATTAGAATGAAGCCAAGGCCCTCCTGTACGTAATTACAGAGCATGAAACAGAGCGGAGCTGACACATGCAGGGCCGTGGCTCCTGCTGCAGAGTGGAGGGGGCAGAAGGGGAGGGGCGGCTCCCCCACCCCCCTTCTCAGGCAGGTCCCGCTGTGGGACAGCAAGGTCTCTGAGAGGAAAGCGAGGTGCCCGGGACGCACACACGGAGACGCAGCCTGCAGCACGTGCTCCCACAGTTTCTTCCCCTGCCCCACTGAGTCTCCACGGGGCGCACGAGGAGGTCTCCCCTGAAAGGGACTGGGAATGGGGCTGCCTCCTTCCCAGGCATGGCTGTGGACATCAGCGGGGTGGTGTAGCGAGTCTTGGATTGCAGGATGAAACAGGGAGGCTCAGTCTGACACGCAGCATGTGAGTTCTGGAAAAGGGAAGAAAGAGTCAAGGTGAATGCGTCCTGAGCGCAGGGAGGGCGGGGGGCAGGGCGGGACGAGGGTGAGACGGGAACCAGCGCTCCCACCCACACGGCAACCTCCGGGGCAAGGAGGCCCAGCGTTCATTCAAACAAGCTCACGAGGCGGTTTAGAGCTGAACCAAAGGGAAAGTCTGAGGTGAAGAAAACAGACGACTGACGCTGAAGTCACGCAGAAGCTGGGTTTGGGACAGGCAGGGTCAGTGGCGTCGGGCAGGGTGCCACAGCATACTGCGCAGGGGACTCTCGTCTCTGACCCACGCGGAGGATTGGGAGACACTCCAGCCAGGAGCAGCTACTCATCGGAAGCCATCATCATTCATCGTTGTCATGGCCACGCACAGGCCACGAACACACTTTTCTCGTGGGAGAGGAGGGAACCTCAATGCCCATGCACTCATGTCACAGTGTCAGAAACTGTTCCTGTGCCGCCCACTTCCCCCAGAGCCTTCCACTCTGCTGTACCCAAGCTGGGCAGCGGGGCCCTCACAACAGAGGCGAGGAAACGAAGAACAGCAAGGCCTGCAAAACAGCTCACCACCCCTCGCAGCGCCAGCGGTTGTGAAGCCTTTCTCTTGGTTACTGGGAAACCAACGGGGGGCAGTGGGGAAGGCACAGATGCTCGGGCCTCCTCTCCCCTCATGCATGCCACTTTGCAGCCAAAACGGACGCAGGGCCGCTCACCTCCACAGCCTTGTAGCATCCCGAGGAAGGGCTGCAAGATGGAGCAGAGCTGTGCTTCACTTGGTGAGCCTTTCTAGAACAGGGAAGATACGTGTACACAGCCTGGTATTTGAGATGGGTTCACCAAATACGCATTGAATAAGACCCACGGAAGTTCAGTTCTGGAATCAGGCTAACCTTCGCTTCACTGAACTTCCTGTAGGTTACAAAACCGCCTCTCTCCATTTTCACTAGAACTTTGAGAGCATCAGAAAGGTTAGGAATTTGCTCAAGGTCACAGAGCAAATCAGTTGAGGAGTCGCGACTTGAACCCAGTTCTTGGTTCAAGTTTCTCCTACTAGGCCAAGCTGCCCACTCTCCATCCAGTGCCGTGTTCTGTGAACAGCCTAGTAAAACCATGCCATCCTCATCAGTGTTGAAATTAAAGGTTACACATTTGTCAGCATCTCTCAGAAGCCTCTCTCACTCACTCTCTCATTTGTTTGTCCAAAACCCCATGGGATTAAACCACCTGCTAGAAGAGCCACCTGCCACGTACCAGTTTATCAGGTCTCTGACTCACTGTGGTAAATTGTGCTATACTCACCTGCTCCAGTTTTAAGTGCAACCTTCTCCTAATAGCCCAGGATCTGGTATCCAAGCTCACACCAGCCTGCTCCATGCTCACCGTGGGCTGATGCTGGGATGTGTTCCCTCTCTGTGTTCCAGGCTGCAGCCTCCCAGGGCTGCCATCTGCCCTTCCTTGTAAGGCTATCATTGCACTTTCCCCTGTTCACAGCCTTCCCAGCCCCACACAGCCACATGCAGAGTCCCAGACACAGAGGCCTTCAGCACAGCTGCCCTGGCACAGGGGCCCAGGGCAAGGTCTACGCCAGTTCTCAGGTCTCTTCCTGAACCACCATGCAGCCCCAAATCAATTCCTTCCTTCTTTCTTTATTCTCAGATGCATTACTCCACACTTGTCACTTTTGTATATACTAATCCTGGTTCATAAGCACTTATTTTGTGGGTTTTTTTCAAAATTTTGCCTATTGGTTTAACCACTCCAAAGTGCTTGGCGTCCATGGACTTGCAGATTCTGCACCCTAAAGGACAGATGCCATGAAATAAACCCTTTATGGTTTCTGGCTGCTAACTCCTGAGTCAGTGTCTTCCCCATGTGAAAATCAGAGAAGAAACCACCACCATAATTTTAGAGGCTAGAAAGCAGGCAGATGAGTGGTGACAGAGCAGTCACTCAGAAAGCCAAGGGGAAAGCCAAGAACCCAGCTTGTCCAGAGAATCCTCAAGGGCTCAGGAAACACCACAGGTCCCCGTGGCGGCAGGGGAGGGAGGCTGGCAAGGTTTAGCCAAGGGCAATCTGGGAAGCAGCTGGGCCCCTAGAAGCTCCCCTAGTCCCATGACTGGGCAACCCTTGACCTCCCTCCAGTTTGGATATTTACTCTCCAATGAGAACAAACGGAGGGTCTCAGGCCTAGGAGATACCAGGCACCAAGCACAAGTGAGGGAGGAGCTAACAATTCCAAAACAGAGGTATCAAGTGAACATGTGTCTACTGTGAGTGCCCAGCCTTCTCCCATGGAGCTGCCAGAATCCAGGTAACCAAACCTTTACCCTATGGGCAAAGAGAAGGAAGACACTTCTCTGACCTAAAGACACCGGCATGTGGGGAACTCAGCAGCCAGTCCAACCTGCCCATCCTGTGAAGTGTACTACCAGTGTCACAAACACAAGCACAGAGCGTTCAGTGTGACTGTTAGTCTCCTAATCTTAAACAGCATCAGATAACAAAGGTCACCAGGGAAAAACCTCTAACACAAACAGTAGAGATCAAAACAAGGAAACGGAAGAATGCAAATTGGACAGTTGATGGAGAAGAAAACTTAAAAACCACAAGTCACTATCACTAGTATCCGTGGAGAAGAGATGTAGTATCCAAAGGTATAAACAGTATACTATTTTCTCTCTCTCTCTTTTTTTTTTTTAATTTATCTATTTATATGAAAGGCAGAGAGACAGAGACAGACAGACAGACAGACCTTCCATCTGCTGGTTGGTTTACTCCCTAAATGGCTGCAATGGCTAGGGCTGGGCCAGACTGAAGCCAGGAGCCTGGAACTCCATCCAGATCTGCCAAGTGGGTGGCAGAGCCCCAAGCACTCAACCATCTTCAGCTGCTTTCCCAGGCGTATTAGTGGGGAGCTGGAACAGAAGTGGAGCAGCCAGACTCAAACAGGCACTCATATGGGATGTCGGTGATGCAGGCGGCAGCTTAACTCACTGTGCCACAGCGCCATGTTATTTTCTCAATTGAGAGAAGCAAGGTGGGTGTGGGGGAGAAGCCCATACAAAGACTGGGGAGTTCTGCTTCCTATAATAATGAGTTAATTTATACTGACTAAACCCTTCAGCCAAAAACAGTGATAAATTCTGGATAAAGGGGCTGGTGCTGTGGCACAGCGGGTTAACGCCCTGCCCTGAAGCGCCAGCATCCCATATGGGGACCTGTTCGAGTCCCGGCTGCTCCACTTCTGCTCCAGCTCTCTGCTATGGCCTGGGAAAGCAGTAGAAGATGGCCCAAGAGCTTGGGCCCCTGCTCCCACATGGGAGACCCAGAAGAAGCTCCTGGCTCCTGGCTTCGGATCGGCGCAGCTCCAGCCGTTGCAGGCATTTAGAGAGGGAACCAGTGGATGGGAAGACCTCTCTCTCTGTCTCTCCCTTTCTGTCAATCAGCCTTTTACATAAATTTAAAACATCTACAAAAAATAAAAATTTCTTGCATAGGATATATATATTTTTTTTTTTTGACAGGCAGAGTGGACAGTGAGAGAGAGAGAGACAGAGAGAAAGGTCTTCCTTTTGCCATTGGTTCACCCTCCAATGGCCGCTGCGGCCAGCGCATTGTGCTGATCGGAAGCCAGGAGCCATGTGCTTATCCTGGTCTCCCATGCAGGTACAGGGCACAAGGACTTGGGCCATCCTCCACCGCACTCCTGGGCCATAGCAGAGAGCTGGCCTGGAAGAGGGGCAACTGGGACAGAATCCGGCGCCCCGAATGGGACTAGAACCCGGTGTGCTGGTGCCACAAGGCGGAGGATTAGCCTAGTGAGCCACGGCGCCGACCCTGGATAAAATATTAAAAGCAACTCTTTGATGGTACTGGAGAGCAACCAAAACCAGGCAAAAACCAGAGGCGCTGTGATCCTAGAAAAAAGTGAGCCAAGGCGAGGGCTACTCTCTCCTGGCTTTCCCTGCGGGCGCTTCCCTCCCTCAGAGGGAACGTTACCCGTTCACTTGCTAGCTCTGCAGAACAGAGCTCAGGCAGGAAAGGTGAGGCTGCCAGCCCAGGTGGGAAGCTACATGCACACTCGCCTCAGATCACTGGCTGACTCGTGCATCATGCTAGTACAGGATGATCCCCAAGGAGCCCAGAGGGAAACACCAGCTATGAGGCTGGGAGAGATGAGCAGCAGCTTTAGCCACTGTCCAGTGCTGGGAAGACAGAGTCTGGAGTTCAAGTTCTGCCAAGATCTGGTCTTTCCAAGATACCCCATGAGACTAAGGGCAAAACTCAGAAAGCTGAGTCTTAATAAAGCTTTAAATCAAGCCTCCACAGAATCAGTGATCCGCCTTCTAGAACAAAAGACTCTGAAGAAGAAGATGACAGAATACAGAGAGAGTCTCTACAACTTACCAGCCATGGGACCATTAAAGAATTATTAGACACATGAAGCAGGAAAATGTAACCCATAATCCAAAGAAAAACATGGATGACTGAGATGTTAGAATTAGCTAAACCACTGCCTGCAGTGTCAGTTCAATTACTGGCTGCTTTGCTCCTACAGCTATCTGCTCATGTCCCTAGGAAAGCAATAGAACATGGCCCAAGTGCTCCTGGCTCCTGGCTTCAGCCTGCCCCAGCCCTGGCTGTTGCACCCATTTCAGGAGTGAACCAGCAACTGGAAGATCTCTCTCTTCTCTCCCTCTCTCTCTGTAACTCTGATTTTCAAATAAATAAATAAATCTTTAAAAAATTAGCAATTATAGATCTCAAATATTACCATAAATATGCTGAAGAATCTATAAAAAGGATGGATATAACAGGTGATAAGACAATGTATTTTAGAAGTATAAAAGAACTAAATAGAAATGTGAAAACTGAAAAATTCAGAATCTGAAATGAAAAAATTTTCATGAGATTAACCACAGATTTGATCCTGTAGAATAATCAGTGACCTTAAAGACAAAAATCTAAAAAATTATTCAAATGCATAGAGTACATACTGTATGACTCCATTTATACAAAATTCTAGAAAATATTAACAAATCTCTGGTGACAAAAACACATCAGTAGTGCCCTGGGGCTGAGGTAAGGGAGATGGGGAAGGGAAGGAAAGATTAGTATAAAAGGGCGTGAGAAAGCTTTTGGAGGTGACTGCTGCAAAGGTTCCCTGTGTATACATAGGTTAAAACTTACCAAATATTGCATTTTAAGTATATGCAGTTTACTAAATGAAAATTATGCCACACTACAGCTGTTTTAAAAAGCAGTGGTAATGGAAACTATCTTTCTAGGGCTTTAAAAATCTGTGCTAGGAAAACATGTGTGGGCTTTATAGATGCCACAAGAGTCATTCTATTTCAAGCTTAATACAACTAGAAAAAATTTCATTAAGAAAAACAAAAACAAAGAAAACTGATGTGGCAATATTAATATTAAACAAAATAAACTTCAAGGCAAGGAGTAATAACAGATAAAAAGCATCATTTCACAGTGATTAAAACGTCAAAAAGACATAAAAATCTTACATCTCCAACAACAAGAAGTTAACTAAAAATTAGCAGAGATGGGGGCCATGCTGTGGCATAGCTTGTAAAGCCGCCGTGCTACAGTGCCAGCATCCCATATGCGTGCCGGTTTGAGTCCCAGCTGCTCCTCTTCCAATCTAGCTCTCTGCTATGGCCTGGGAAAGCAGCAGAAGATGACCAAGTCCTTGGGCCCCTGCACCTGTGTGGGAGACCCAGAAGAAGCACCTGGCTTCTGGCTTCCGATTGGCCCACCTCCAGCCATTG